GCTCCCCGCAGCAGGCTGGGCTCCCAGGACGGCGTTGCAAACTGTTGCATCAGACAGCAAGCAGCCAGCTGGGCCGCCAGGGTTTCTAGGAAGATAGGAAGGGTTTGAGATCCTCTGTGGTCTCTGGGGGACGTTGGCTGTCACCCACGGCGTTTACACGCTGGTAACACAATCCCCTGAAATCTCCAGCTTGCGCCAGTCGCCAGTCAGGCAAGGGCCTGAGCCACAGGTGAAATTCGCTAAACTCCTTTGCTCCAGCCCCACCCATGGCCCCAGGCTGGACCCACTGAACTGAACTCGGTCGGCTTTATTAATAGCAAGGGCCCTGAAGGAATGAGCTGGGTTTGATTTCTCTTCCCAAGTACAAGAATGCCCCTGAGGAATTTCTCACTCCGTGAAAGTGCAAAACTAATTTACCCAGACAAGAGCTGTTGCCGGTTCCCAAAAGGGCTTGGAAAGATCCCAGCAGGAATGTTCAGTGGTTTCCAATTCCCTTCACCCCAGCAGCGGGACATGCAGACACTGACCACCAAGAACTTCTTGGTGGGGGGGGACCCGCTTCTTCCACAGATAGGCGTTCCTTTTGGCATATCTCAGGCCCCCCTGCTTTGAAGACTTTGGACATCAGCCAGAGAATGCACTACCAGAAACCTATGCAGACACCACACATACAATGAGTTCTCTAGATTCAAATGGTTCTGCAACCCAGGTAAGGGAAAGTCCTCCTCACTCTCCATCCTTCTGGTCTCGGAGCCACTGCCTTCCTGAAGAGGAGAGAAAATAATGCTGGATCTGGAAGGATGGGGCAGTCTTAGGGGGTGGGATATTCAAGAAGAATAAGAATCTACTTTCTAAAGGGATTTCCAGGGACATAGTCTGAATTCTATGGTCCAATTCTTTTATTTATTTATTTATTTATTTGGAATGGGTCAAGACCAAGGTTCTTTAGTATTAATAGTTTCCCAAAAGACAAACACTGGCAATTTACCTTATGCCTTCTGTCTTTTCTAGGATGTTGATGGTAAAAATCTATTCCAGTTGAAGAATCTTGAGAGCTAAAACAGGCCTACTGTTTTTCCTTCCCCTCATTATTATGAATCACTCATTCCCAAGATTCCATTAAAAAAAATGACCTGAAAAATTCATAAGCATTATCTGACACATCCCTTTGTCAGGTAGTCACTGTTTGTTTAAGCCAGCAATTTCCTTTGACCAGTGGGGTATTATGGCACTATGAGATTTTTTTTATTGTAATAGATGTTTCATAAATATGGCCCAAACTGTTTCTGTCATCAACAGTGATCTTGTGAACTGAAGGAGTGATGAGGAAGGATGAAAAGGATTGTGGACAAGTGCTGTACTATCTCCAGGTCCCGCTTCTAAGGGTATATCAGAGCCCAGAGAACTTGTGCCAAATGGGTGTCAGCAAGATGCTCTATAGGGTCAGGGGGCTGCCAGGGGCTGATAAAATGTCAGATATGTATGTGAAATATGTCTCACCTGGTGAAGCAAGTCTTTTAATATTGTGGGGCCTCTGCAGGCAAGAAAGTTGGAGCTATGGAGTCAGGAGCCAGGTAGGAATGGGAAAACGTGAGCTCAAAGCCCATGTTAGATTCTCTGCTGTACCCTTAGCACCTACAGATTGTGGGCTCTTGATGCATGTTTGTAGAATAAATGCATTGAAAAAATGAGGAAAGGAGCAGAGAGAGAAAAGATCAAAGAAGTCCAAGGATTTTATAAGAGGCAGCTTGGGATGTCCAGAGCTCTCTTGTAGGGGATAAGAGAGGAATCCTTCTAGTTCAAAGACATTGGGCAAGAGATTGAGAACTGTTAAGGGATAAGTCGCCTGAGGCCCCTTCTGCTTGGTTTCCTTGTTTGGAAAGGCCTCCACTTGGTGATTCCAGAGTGTGCAGTCACTCTGTGTAACCAAGCCTGATGACATCATCAACAATTGCCTCACCTTGACTGGATTCCCAGAGCAAACTTCTGGAGAAGTGAGGGGTCTGGGGGAGGGTGTGTATCTGAGATCCAGAGGACAGGAAAATCCCCCAGAAGCCTCACTTTAAAACCATAAGCAAGTTGTGGCCCAGATGGTTAGATGATGCAGACATAGATGAAAAGTGTGATTTGTTTTCCACATTTATTGGGCACTCAAAGATTCTAGACACTATACTGAGCCCAAACCCAGACAAAGCTCCTGTTCTAAGAGCTTATGATCTAAATTCCTTGTGGAAAGTCTGTCTTTGAAATGTTTAAGGCACCTCATTTGATCCGCATTTCCACTTCAAGTCATGTACCTCCTTCCTGAGAAACCCACCGCATTTGAAGTTTGTAGCTGGCCTTCCTTCTGTTTTTACTATTTACGTGCCAATTTAAAGGGTGGAGAGAGCCACATTAGTTTTAAAATAAGACACGAATAGCAGAATGAGGCTTGGTGAAAGTAAAAACCGCAGAAGGGATTTTTTTTCCCCTCTCATACTTTTCAGATTTTCCTAGAGCCACCTTTATTTTCTCAGAGCCCAGACATAGAAAGTGAGTGGGCCTCTCCGGATGCTCTTCCAAGAGAAAGCTACAGCCTCCTGCCTGTTCTCTCATTGCACCTTTAGGTTTGTTTTTCTTTTTAGACAACTGAGTCCTCAGTGGGGGCTCAGAAAACAATTGAAGCCCCTAATTCGCATGTGGTGTTTTAAAAGCATTCAGAGCAGATTTGGGTTTGTTTTTGCATGGTTTATGCCTTACCTCTTCTGTCCAGTTGTATCAGCTTGTACATTCTGGGTGATGGGGACATGGTTTGAACGTCAGATCCCCCTAGTGGGTTCCCAGCATTGCCATTTACCAGTCGTGTGACCTCATCTGTCAAGTGAGAATAATGATGCACACCTCTCATGCCTGCAGTGAGGATTAAGGTCTCAAGGCACAGAAAGGACAGCACAAAACGAGCACTTAACACATTGCAGCTATGTCGAAAATAGATCCTTTCATCTGTTGGCTCCTTCCTTAACCACCTCCTCCTCCTATTTTCAAGAAGGAAAGAAAATTAAGTTATCTACTCCAAGTGGTTGATTTATCCCCATTTTATGTCACTAAAGGGCCCATGAGAAGGAGAGAGACAGCCCAAACTTTCAAACACCCGAGCCTTTAAATAGGATGGATCAGTATTCTTTGCCTCTCAGCAAGAGGTGACTAAACCAGCAATGTAGGGACTAGGGAAACCTCGAAGGCCAACGGTGGGGTGGATTGGTGGGGTGGCCGGAGCTCAGGAGATGGGGAAGAGTGGTCGGGAAAGCAGGCCCAGAGCTGAGGTGAGGGGCCAGAGGGGTGCCAGCCACCAAAATAAATAAACAAAAAAATCCCACCCACTCTGGGGGTTCCGAGTTTACTGGTCTGCAGGTCGAGCCTGCCAGTCCAGGGGCCTTGGTGCCTTGGGACCCGAGGCGCGTGCGGCAGCGCCCTCTGCCGGCCGCGATGGACTAATCGTCAACTGCGCGCCGGCCCCACCGCCCTGCAGGTGGGACACGGGATCCCTCCCGCTGCCTCCGCCTCCGCTCCATCCTTTGCGAGGACCGCGCTGCCGGGTCTCCGACAGGATTTCGGGAGACGCGCCCCTTTCTGACGCCTGCGAGCTGAGCAGAGATGATGCTGTGCTCAGAAATAATTGATTCGCTCGGGGATCGGAGGCCGCGGGAACCCACCCAAACTCCGAAGAGGCTGCGCCTCTTGGGGTTCGGAGGCAAAAGCCTGCTGGGCTGTCGGAGGCGGTTTGAAAGTGTCGTCGTCTGTCGCCAAGACGGGTTCTGCCGACAGAGAGGAGCCCCGGGTTCGCTTTCTGCCTCATCCACTTCCAGCAGCTGGGTGACCTTGGGCAAGGGACTTAAATGTCCGTGTGCCTTCGCTTCCTCATCGTTAAGATGAAGAGAATGATCCCGGCGCAGCGGACTGACCTGAGGAGTAATGGGACCAGACAGCCTGGGTTGGAATTCTGGCACTGACATCCGCTAGCTGTGTGCTTGCGGCGAGTTACTTAACCTCTCTGTGCCCCCGTTTCCTGCAAAATAGGAGAAGAGCGGTACTTACCTTCGAGGGTTGTTGCCTGTAAAGCGCGTTACACAGTGCCTGGCACCGAGTAAGCGCTCAATAAAAGGTGGCTATTGTGGCTGCTGTCGTTATTATTGTTCTTCAGTCCGCTGAGCACGCGAGCGGAGAACTCTGGCTGGCGGCTACGATTGTCTCTTTCTTGGGTCCGGCTATTTCTTTCCGGGCATCGTTAACACCTTTTACCACGCACTCGCGTCCTTCTCAGTTGCCGAAGGACAGCCGGCCTTCCCGGGTTTGGAAAATCGAGGTTCCCTTGGAGGCGGGCCAAGGACGTGGTCGCGGGCTGCAAGGACCGGGACCTC